ACAAGAGGTTCACTCTTTCTAGGGCTTACAGAAATAAAAGTAAAACCACAATGAGATATTGATCTACACCTACTAGAATGGCTAACATTAAAACTATTGAAAATAGCAAGTGTTTTCAAGGTTGTGGAGCAGCTGTAAGTCTCATATGTTGCTGGTAGGTATATAAAATTGAATAACCACTGTGGAGATCAGTTTGTCCATTTTTTGATATACATTCACCCAACCAACTCTACTACTAATTATTTACCTAAGAGACATGAAAGTCCTTGCACTGAAATGTTTACAGAAGCTTTATTTTCAATAGGCAAAAAAAAAAAAATCTGTAAACCATACTAATGTCCATCAACAAGTGAGCAAGTGAGTGGAAAAACAAGACGTAGTGTATGAGTGTGATGAAATATTACTAACAGTTTAAAAGAAGACCACTAAGTTATCCCAACCACATGAACAAATATAAGAAGCATTATGGCAAGCTAAGGAAGCTGTGCACTACATGATTTTATTTACATGAAATTCTAGATCAAGAAAAATTTACCTATAGTGACATAAAACTTATCGGTGATGTCTAAAGTAAAAAGTTGGGGAATGACAGCAAATAGGTACAAGGGAAGTTTCTGGGTGATGGAAATGTTCTATGAATCTTGATTGTGATGCTCATTACATTAGTGTTGTCAAAGCTCATCTAACTGTTATTCTCAGTAAATTTTATAAAAAGTATACAAAAAACTTAGTTAGAGAAGAGTATATTATTTAAACTCATAAAAGAGAAAAAAAGAACTGTGTGATTTGGTGCCAGTCCCTTTATCTCTACAGGTCGTTTCCTTCTATGTTACAAGAAGAAAAGCTAAACTAAAAAATATTCAAGACTCATCATATGACATGTCGCTTAAAAAATTATTACATTTTTCCTATTTTTATCTCCAGAGGAGAAAGCTTGATACAGAAAACAGAGATGGTCTTGAATCAGAATAGACATTTGGGTTCTCACACATTTGCCTGGTGAGAGAATATTTAACTTTTTATGGTTGGAATTTCCTTATCTACAAAATTAGATATGGATAAACACCTATACTTCATAAATTTGTTGTGAAAAACCAAGTGATCAAAAAAATTAATGTAAGTTCTTGGCCCTCAGAGGCTGCTGAATAGATAAAAGTTCCCCTTCCCTTTTACTGGAGAACATTTCAAGATTCAAAACTAAAAATAAAATCAAATAGAATACCAACTATGTACCCTTATCAACTGAATCCTCCAGAGATGACATTTGAGTTTCTATAAAAGATCTCGTCTTCTACTAACTGTCTTTGCAGATGCTCTGAGTGTAGCACCTGTCATACTGCTGAGGGTGAGAAGACAAGCATTATGGAATGGCATAGCAGTGGGAGTAAGAGAGGCCATCCTCAGGGAGCCTTCACTTTGCCTGGTTTCTCATGCTCAGTACCCTTGGACAGCTGAACCACATGAATCTTTTCTTACTCTCTGACTCAACAGAGGGACTCCCAAGTGACCTATAAAAGTTATTTAGTGCACTGTCTTGGGTATCTCATATGTATAGTTGATAATAGGGCAGTGCAGGAAATTCATATTAAAAACAAAAAGCCCTACTTTGATTTTGCTTTGGTTACTTTTCTTGTAAATTAAAAAATAAAATGAAATCCCTAGCCACTTGTATCTTGAAGCCCTGACGCCACAGGTAGAAGGATTTAGTATTTTAAGACCCTTATGGGAAACAGAATGTGACATTTTCTTAGACACACAACAATATTTTCTTTATGAGCAAAGACTGAAGGCCTTTACCGTATCACAAGAGGACAAAAGAGTTTAAATGAAACTTCAATGGTAAACCAAACCAGGTCAGAAAAAGGCAGATATTTCTAAACTCAACTACCACCTATGGACAGAGAACATTTCACAACCAGTGTATCAGCCAACCCTGCCAATGGGGTGCTTTAAACAACTCCTCTAGGGCCAATTTAAAAGGGTAAACATGAGAGAAGCTTTTATTAATGTTTCCCTTCATCACAAAAGCAATTTCCCACTGTCATCTGAGCTTTTTACGATGGCCCACTACCGGCACAAGCCATTTTAGTTTACCTCTGACTGTGCACCAGGCAGAAAAGAAAACAAATCAAATAATTAAAATGGTCAAAAATATACCATTTCAAAATGGCTCCATTCTTTTAAAAAATTTATAAGAGCCTGCTTTTCTGAAGAGGGAAAAGTGCAAAGGAGGAACAGAGCAGTGGCTTTCTCTTCTCCAAATAAGCCAAACATCCTAACATCTTCTCTTCTAGGGATATTTCAAGGTCTTCTTCTGTGACTGCTAAACCAACTGTTCATATCTTCATCTTTCCACCTCTAAGTAGTATCCTTAGTGATAATCCTGTGTCCTAGTGCTTTTAGGACTAGGAAGCATTCTGACTGGTGAAAAAATTTATACTGGTTGATCGTGGTGAGAAATGGAGATTTTCCTTATTCAGGCATAAGAATAATGAATCAGCCTCTTGTTTCTCTGTTCAGGGCGACATTGTTAGAAATCTGATTATAAAAGAAACTGTGTGTTACAACTGTAGGGTGGGTTCTGGCAGAAATAGGGTTAATTTTCCTTCCCCTGAGCCAGTAGCTCCCACACCTGTCAACCATCAAAGCTGGGCTTGCCAAGAACCTAGGAGTGAATGGGCATGGGCGCAGCTGTAGCAAATTAGAGTATCCTGAGGAGGTCCAGCATAAAAGATGTGAACTCTTGCATATGTCTCTGTGGGGTTTTGACTGATCCAACAACTATGTTGCTATGGGAATCAAGACTGGTAGGAACCTCGGAGGCTTAGTAATATATAATATGTATTCCTGTCCCTTAGCAGTATATAATATATATTCCCTTCCCTTAGTAATATATAATATGTAAAATTGGATATATGCCTGTATTTGTGTGTATCTATTTTTCATAATGCCCTTTGGGATCGTAGCACAACAGCAATATTTATAATTTTTTAAATTATAAAAAATAATTTGAAAAGAAATATAATAAAGAAAATGGTCTTCCAGCTATGTCCATCATCAGGTATGGAAGCCACATAATTATTGATGAAATAATATTTAATAAGTCTCATCAATGCCATTTCCCAAGAGGATGTAGGTACCATGATACAACAATCATATATGTAGATGTTTTAAAGAAAATGACTAAAAATAAATAATTTGGAGAAAAGGTACTTGGCCCTGTTGTGACAGTAGCTTATATCTGTCAATGCAAATTTCCTTGTTATTTTGAACCCTGAATTCTGATTTGGGTTGTTTTCTAATTTTAAAAAATATTGGCCGGGTGCAGGTGCTCAAGCCTGTAATCCCAGCACTTTGGGAGGCCGAGATGGGCATCACGAGGTCAGGAGATCCGAGACCATCCTGGCTAACCAGTGAAACCCCGTCTCTACTGAAAAAAAAAAAAAAATACAAAAACTAGCCGGCGTGGTGGCGAGCGCCTGTAGTCCCAGCTACTCGGGAGGCTGGGCAGGGAGAATGGCGTGAACCTGGGAGGCGGAGCTGCAGTGAGCTTGAGATCCGGCCACTGCACTCCCCAGCTTGGACGACAGAGAGAGACTCCCATCTCCAAAAAAAAAAAAAAAAAACAAACACCATAATCCAATAAATATAAAAAGTAAATCATCAAAATACTATATATATGTATCTAAAAGGAGTTATGTCATAATAAGTCTCTTACATTCTTGCCTGAGTATAAGACGTTCTAGACTTTTGAAACCTGCCCATTTTCAGCTTTGTGTGTCAGTTAAAAGGAGTGGAATTGCAGGAAGAGGATTTAGTTTATACAGTGAAAGAAACATAAAGGTTAAGAGAACATAGAGAAAATGCTTAAATGGCACTTTACTTTCCTGTATTCATTAAATTTCTCTAGTGGAATGTGAAGTAGATATTTCAAGCAATAATAGAATAAAATCATTGCAGAATTCTGTGTGTTCTCTTTGCACTGAGCAAACTAAAAGAAAGTGAGGGCAGAGGGATACATCTTAGTGATTCCACAAGGCCAGCACATATTCTCAGTAGAGGGGTAAAAAAAGCAAATACAGACTATCTAATTGCTTGTAAAATTTAGGTCCGTTGACCATAGTTTAATTACAGTCCACCAAATTCTACATTAAGATAAAAAAAAAGTGCAACCTTAAAGAATTAAAATAAAATGACATTCTGGCTGAGGAAAAGTTCCAGAATCTTACAGGGTCATGATTTAATACCTCACACACTGTAACCATCATTAATAGCCAAGATATAATGAAATCACTTTTGAAAGAGACTGTCTTCCAGGGCTTTCTATTTAGATGTGAAATTTTTGAAGGGGAAGAAGGCAATTGATAGGATCAACATCAGATTTGGCCCAGTACAGACACTCAAAGCAGATTTTTAAAACAATCTAAATTGCCATTTGAACATTCAGAGATCTTACACAGATAATTGATTTAGAGACTTCTCAATTTATCAAAATACCCCAAGCATCTTAAGAGTAGGAGTTTCTTTAATTACAGTGGCTATTATTGGACATTTCAGAACCCATTTCTTAAGGACCTGCAGAGTCTGCAAAGTCCTGTTGAGCAGACCTTGCCCTAAGATGTTGATGGCTAGCTGGGCCTTAACTGACTCAGCAAGACCTAACTGACCTGCAGAATAGAAAGCGCAGGTCCTCACTTTCTTCACTTTTCACTGACACTGACCCATGACTGACCCCCAGCTCTGCACTCATCTTTTCTTGAATGATGGAGGAGAGCTTAAGAATACTGTTACCTTGCTTATTCGCCAAGACTATCTAACACATGTCCTAGAACATGCACACTGGAGTATTTTGTGATGTGCATATTTTCAGTCATCTTGAGATTTTCACTAGGCAAGCAACTTATTTCACATGTGCTTATAGGAAGGCCATGAGTTGGAAGGAATTTTTTTTCATTACTACCAGTTGAGTTCAATGTAAACCATTGACCTTAATTTACTGAACTTATTTCTTTCCCTTGAAGACACTCCCCACATCTGCACTATAAAATCATAACTGAAGGAAGAAAACAAATGTCCAAATTGGAATTCTGATCTTCATAATGATTTAATTCAACAAATTGCTTAAAAGTAAGAATTAGCCACACTAAACTTATTTGATTAAATACTAATGATCTTCAACCAGGGATAACCAAAGAGTATTCGTGATAATCTCTCATAGAACAAAACAGATGTGTAAAACATAAACAATTTAATTATGTAATAATGATCATGCTGCCACATAACAGAAGTGTAGGGATGGCCACTGTCTTGCTACCAGTTACCATAGCCATGACAATATCCCTTCTAATGTAGGGTTGGGATCAACAGAAACAGCCTCCTCTTTCTCTTCTCAGTGCTGGCATTTCTTAGAACTTTGGCTGTAAGAGAAATCATGTGTTACTACTGTAGGATAAGTGGTTAAATTTCACATATGCTGAACTTATGCTTGAAAAAAGTCATGTTCTTTTTATCTAATTTTTTTTTTTTTCTGAAACTTGGATTCTCTTTAGTGGTGGTAGGAGGAGCTAGGATAGATGAGATTTTAAATATGTCATTTAAAGGTAACTCATCTTTTTCTTTTTAATTTGGTTTGATTTCCCTTTCTCCTAGCCAAGTTGGTACCTGGACATAGCATGAGGCATCATAAAGTCTCAAATTTGAGTAGTAGTGTCCCCTAGGATGTCCTTTGTCCCACTTGGTTGTTGCTCATTCTGCTGTCATCTACCTCAGACATCTATGGCAGATGAAAGTCATGTTTATGTTTTATTTTTTATTTTTATTATTATTATTATTTTGTTTTTCTGCACAGTGAGTGCCTGCAGGTCCTTTTCCTTGTACAAACAGGTTACACTGTTCTGACATGGCTCCACTTCAGCCTCCCCTGCCCCTGCGGTTCTGCTGAAGCTCAGTCATGATATTTATCTGACCCCTTCCTAATTAACCAATGATTTATCTCTTCCCCACTGTGGGCACACAGTAACTTTTGAGACAGTTCCCTCATTAGGCTTAGAATGTGTGGAATCAAAGGTGAGAGTAGGGTGGAGGACTATCTATGAACATTTAGCCATCATTACTCAGCTGCAGTTGCTTAATATTGTGGGATACTCACTCAAGTGACCTCTTCCTTAAGTCCCAATAGGTTGTAGGTCCCCAGCCTCCTTTTCTTTTAGCCACCCCCACCTCCATCCCTCTCTTGGGGCTTTCCATCACTGCTTAGTCTTCATCTTGAGGCTTGTCCTAAAGTGAACCAGATTGAGATGAAATGGAGAACTAAAGAAAGACACTGGTATCTTGCCTCCTGCTTTCTCTCTCTCTCTCTCTCTCTTCCCCTCCCTCCCTCCCTCTCCTACCCTATTCAACCTACTGACTCACATATGTGTTTTCTCTGGAATAGCCTGTAGTTGCTTTATATTCTACATAATAAAACATAAATTTCAGATCTCCAAAATGTTTTAACTTGTAAGAAAAAATTGGAATTTGTAAATTCTTCTGTCTTTTATTTAAGTCTGGATTTCAAATATATTGCTTTATTGGGATACCAAACCCTGATTTACCACAAACACTTGGCAACTTTGTTCACATTATTTCAGAATTTCTTCAGAATCATGGAAACCCTAAGATTTAATGAATGAAAGTCAAAAAGATTATAATTTAAAGATATATAATTTATATATTATATAAAATATATAATTTAACCTTTGAAAAATATTACACCCATTTCTGAGACCACAATGTAATATTAAATATAAAGATTCTGGGATATTTAACAAACCAAGTGAGAAATTGCATTTTGGCTCACAATCGTCTGGAGCCAGGGCTCACCCTACTGTGGAAAACCTCATCTTCATTTCCTGTCTTACTCCCCATGTCATATGGCTGTTATCTTCTCATCTGTATCAGTGTTTCTCTTCACAGACCAGCTTTGTCTACATCCTAGTGTACAAAATGAAGAATATGAGAGGTGTGTTGAGGCTCTCCAGTTTTTACATTTCCATTTCATCTTCAAGAATCCAGCTTTAACTGGGACTGGAATACTGCTGTACTCTGTCAGTTTACTAAAGAGGAAACATTAACAGCTATAACTTGGATCTTGAGCCCATCTTTCATTGAACCTTTGGTCAAGGGGAAAATAATGGGATAGTGTAAGTATGGAGTCATTCGTCATATGAATCAGGGTTGGAAGGGGAAAAAATGGGGTAGTGTAAGTATGGAGTCATTCTTCATATGAATCAGGGTTGGAAGTGAGATTTTCCTTCCTTCTTCCTTTCTCTCTCTGTCTCTCTTTTTAAGAGAAAGAGTGTCAGGTAAAAGTATATAAATGTCGACTGGGCTCAGTGGCACATGCCTGTAATCCCAGCACGTTGGGAGGCTAAGGCTGGTGGATCACGAGGTCAGGAGTTCAAGACCATCCTGGCTAAGGTGGTGAAACCCTGTCTCTACTAAAAATATAAAAATTAGTCAGGTGTGGTGCAGGCACCTGTAATCCCTGCTAATTGGGAGGCTGAGGCCAGAAAATTGGTTGAACCCCAGGGGCAGAGGTTGCAGTGACCAGAGATCGTGCCACTGCACTCTAGCATGGGTAACAGAGTGAGAGTCTGTCTCAAAAAAAATAAAAATTAAAATTAAATAAATAAATAAATAAATCAGCTATAATATTGTTTCTAGTATTTATATTGGCTTATTATTTCTATTTACTTATTAAATAAATCTGGTACTCCTTTGTGCAGTTCTCCTAAGGCATACATGGAAAATAACTTGTAAAATTTAACTTTTTTAATTGGTAGACTTAAACTCTTTTATGCTAATTCTTCTGTAATTCTTCAAAATAATGTGTCATAAATTATTTATGAATAAAACAAAACAAAAACAAAAACCTCTTATGTTATCAATCTTTTCTAGACAAAAGGTCACAGTTATTCAAGATGTATTTTTATTTCTGTTCTCTAGTACTCTGAAATTTTTCAAAATCAGTAATATGTGGAATATTTTTGTTTTTAGTGCACACTATTTTAACTAATTTGTTCATCTTGCATCCTAGTCTGGTGTTAAAGTCTTGCAGTTTAACTTTTGTCTTAACTAATATGATATTATGAAAAATACATACTTTTCACTTTAACTTATTGACATAATTAATTACATTAAGTTTCTAATATTGAACTGTCTTTGCATTCCACTTACAAACTGTTTATAGGATATGTTATTTTCAAATATTAGAAGATTATTCTTATATTCATTAAAATATAATTTTATTTTGGATTGTGTATTAACTTACAAAAATTAGTTTGAAAGACTTTTTGTCAACCTGCCTTTGGCAGGTATTGGTATCAACGTTCTACTGCTTTTCTAAAAGATGCTGGCTAGCATTGCATTTCTTAGTTCTCTACAATAGTGTAAACAGAATTAGCACAACTGGTTGGTTTAAGTTCTGAAGGTTTAAGCATTTAACATAAACCCTTCATAACCTCTACTATCTGGATGTTACTCTGCCAGATTTATTAATTTTATATATGATTTTTTTGTTTAGTTTTCAATGTTTTCTTCATTTTTGGTAATTAATTTACTCTAAAATGTTGCATATTTTCTTTAGTTTGCCATATTTATTTACATAGAATCAAAGTATTCTCATTTTTAAAATCTTACTTTTTACTTCTAAGTTTGACAAAAATATCATAATAAATAAAACTAGAATATTACTTATTGTATAGGCAAAAATATAAAAGACATTATAATTTAAAAATTGATTAATGTATAACTTCAAACAGAATGAACAATTTTGTTCAATGGAGTCATATGAACGTATTGCCAACATTCAGTTTTTTTGATTTATTGGGTGTCATCTCTTTCTAAATTCCACCTTAATATAATACTGAGGAAAAAACGCTTGACTTGTAATATGTTTCAGGTAGTTTGAAATAATCATCAAAATTGCTGAGGATAGTGCCTAACACAGAGGTAATTCTCAGTTAATTTTATTTTCATTCCAGGTAAGTTTTTCCACCTGGTAAGAGTCTAGGTTAGAATTCAAAGATTATTCAATTTATTTTATTTTATTTTAATTTTTGACAAAGTCTGACTCTGTCACCCAGGCTGGAGTGCAGTGGCACAATCTTGACTCACTACAACCTCTGCTTCCCAGGCTCAAGGGATCCTCTGACCTCAGCCTCCCGAGTAGCTGGGACCACAGGCATCAGCCACCATATCTGACTAATATTTGTGTTTTTTGTAGAGACAGGGTTTCACCATGTTGCCCAGGCTGGTCTTGAATTCCTGAGCTCAAAGCCATCTGCCCCCTTTGGCATCTCAAAGTGTTGGGATCACAGGTGTGAGCCACTGCATCCAACCAATATTTTTAATTTAAATAAAATTAAATAAGGAAAGTCAAGTGACCACCACAATGGATAATGATGTCAACTGCAGTGCCTTGTCCTGACCATTCCAACAACACATAAATAATATGGATAATGATATCGAATTTCTCCTTCAAAGAACTTTTCACGTATGTGTAAAATATGGCCTTCCCTAAGAGGCTAGTGATACAAAATTATGTTACATATTTTAAAATAATTACATTTTAATTAAGTAAAAATATTAATTAAATTATATATTAGTTAAATACACCAATTAAATGAAATTATATAACTAAATTAAAATTAATTAAAATAAAATTTTAATTGATTACATCATTTTTATTTCAGTTCTCTCACAATAATCAGTGTAATACAAAGCATCCTTTTCTCTGAGGTTCTATCTACTATAAGTCAGAAACCTGATGTCTTATCTTAATCTAAGAAAACTTTTTGTTTTGTTGTATTTCATCAGAGGAAAAACCAAAAGTCTAGTCAGAACTTAAAGAGTCCTATTATTCTTAAAGAGTCTGACTGGACTTTTGTTTTTTCCTCTGACCACACTTTTGCTTCTTTCATGGTTGCATGTTATGGCTGCAAAAAAATCAGCAAATCTAGATTGCCAATGCAAGTTCCAGTTTAAGAAAAAGGCCCAAGTTAACTAACCATGGTATGACAAAAATTACCCAGTTCAAGACATGGAATTGCCTGATGCAAGATCCAGGCTGCAGCAGGACATGTGGTTATATCCAAGGACCAACATCATTGCTTATAAAACAGTATTTCATGAGATTTCAAGTTAAGGGGGTTTAGCATTACACCAACTGCAAAGCTCAACATCAAAGAAAATTGAATGAAATGTCTTTCAGTTTTGCCATTACTTGCCTCTTATAATTTTTACAAATATACATGTGCACATATGCTTATACATTTGTATACATTTTACCAAATGCACCCCCATATTATTAGAATTAGAAAGAGGTTTTAGGATGGTGAACAGATTAATTTATTTATTTGAAATATATCAGCTGAGTACATATTGCTACCATGCATTGTTTTTGGTGCTACAGATTAAAAAAAAAAAAAAAAAGCTCATAAAAGAGATCCCAAATTGTCTTTTTAACTTTTTGTGATCATTGTCTGTAACCTAGACTACTGCAACAGCTTCTACACTGCCTCTGATATTTGTCCTTTTCCAGAGTACAAATTTTATCACCATGAGGTCATTTTCCTGCCTCTTGGTGGTTACCTACTGTCTTTGCCCATTTGTGTTGCTATAAAGGAAGACCTGAGGCTGGGTAATACATAAAGAAAGATTTATTTGGCTCATTGATTTGCAGGCTGAACAAGAAGTATGGCACCAGCATCTGCTACTAGTGAAGGCTTCAGGCTGCTTCCACTGATTGTGGAAGGCAAAGGGAAGCAGACCTGTGCAGAAATCATATGGTGAGAGAGGAAGCAAGAGAGAGACAATGGGGACGTGCCAGGATCTTTTTCATAACCAGCTCTTGCCGGAACTAATAGAGCAAGAACTCACCAAACCATTCATGAGCGATCCGCCCCCACAATCAAAACACTCCACTTTACGTCTCCACCTCCAACACTGAGGATCAAATTGCAACATGAGATTTAGAGGGGCAAACATCCAAATTATAACACACATTTTCCTAGCATGAAGTCTATCGTCCTAAGTGTGCTTTACAAGACTTTCATGATATGGCCTTGATTCAAGGCCATCCTGAGATATAAAGTCTCATGTCAAGAACCAGGGGCTGTAGAGTCATGCCTCTTGAGTTTGAATTTTGATTCTACTTCTAACTAAGTATGTGACTGTGGACAAGTAACTTATCTTTTCTTTGTCTTTGTTTCTTCAGGTATAAAATGAGAATCACAAATACACCTATGTGAAAGCTTGTAGAAAATTAATTAAGTTAATTTATGTAAAATGTGAATAGTGCCTAGAATATAGTGAGCACTTAACAAATTAGGCTAGGATTACCTGTTAAATTTTGTTCTTTCCAGTTCATATCCTCAACTTCAGGTCCATTTCTGTGCAAACCAGGCCAATAAATGTGATGGCCTTTTTTTACAATGCTTTTTATGAAGTCCTTACCCCTGGCCTGTTTGGCCTTGGTATGTCCTACTTTGACTTTAGATCCATGTCAAGAACTTTAAGAAGTTTGATAATTTACTCTACTTGCAAGCTAATAAGTTAGTCTTCAATAGTTTTATAGATGCTGGCAGAAGATAGGACATTCCTGGGTCAGGGAAAAAAATTTTAATAAAAAAATTTTATTAATAACAGTAGCAGGGTTTTAGTATTTTCTTTGATTCTCTGACCCCCTGTTCCCATAAGGTGATGCCAAGAGGGTTAAAGTGACACCTGTATACCTGTTGCATTTCAGGAGAGAAACCTTGAGCTTAGGGAGCCCAACTTTTGAAAGCATAAAAAGCATGCCTACCTTTTGCTGCCAAGAGAGAGGCTATACTTCTAAGACTATAAGCAAACCTGCCCTTCTCTCTGGACAGAGATGCTATATTTTCCAAGTCTATCCACTGTACAAATATTATTGAAAAGACAGTTGGGACAAATGCAGTCAGTACCTCTGCTATCAAGATGTAGACAGGTGCAAGAATGCCACGGGAGAATTGTCTCTCAACAGTCTCAACTACAGTTCTTCCATTCTGCCCTCACTCAAGGCAGGGTTTTTGGCCCATGTAGGCCATAAGCTCCCTGAGGACAGATTCTCTGTATTTTTCCCACTTATTCTAATTCTTAGCATAGTTCCTTGCACATAGTAGGTACTCAAAACACTTTAGAAGAAATAAGAGAATGTAATATAAATGATATTATTTTCATTCCTACCATTCCTACCATAACCAGTTGGAGAATAAAATTGAAAAATAAGTCTCATTCATATCAGCAACAACTTTATAAATACTTTAGTAATGTGCATACTTTATGAAAAGTGTGCACAAACTTTATATAGATATCTACAAAATGATATTAGTATCATAAAAAAGATTTAGATATATAAAGCTACATGCATAAAAATGGGAGCAGTATAGGACTTGAATTGCAATGAGAAACACAGCTTTTATTTGCATCTTTGCAACTTAACAAGCTACATGCTCTTAGAAAAAAGTGGAAGCTTTCATAACTTTTTATACATTTATTCAACAACTATTTACTGATCTCTCAGTAGAGGCCATGCCCTGTTCAGTTGTAATTGTCTTCATTATTCAGCCCTAATTATTAAGAGTGACTTCTGATAGCTAGCTTGTAATTTGATATAATAAAAGCAATTGTTAAGTTTATGGACCATATAGGAAAAATATTTGGGTCTTTATAAAAATGTATTATTATATATAATATTATACATTAATACTGTATGACATAAAACATACGAATAGTATGTCATTTATATAATTAAATATCATATTACACTTGTAAAAGGTATTAACTCTACTTATCTTTGGTTTTATTTTTTATTTTTTCCTAGAAAACCTACTTTCTACTTCAAATAACCTCATATATATATGCATATATATATATACACACACACACACACACACACACAACTGGTGATATACTAACTAGTAGTTATATATAGAGAGAGTAGAGATATATACATATATATATAAACTAGTAGTTATATACATATATAGATAAATACTGGTGATACACTACTAGTTATACATACACATACACACACACACACACACACACACACACTAGTTAGTAATCACCAGTCATGCCAACAACTCTAAAAGAAGACTTGTTTTTTTAAATAAAAGAAGGAGCAATTCACAATATAAATTCTGTATTTGTTCTGAAAGCTAACCAAGGTAGATAATTAGAAAACTCAGTAATGGTGTAAATTTGAATTATATCAATAAAGCTTATAGCTGTATGTACCATTTTCTTCTATTGTGAAAAAAATGTAGATATAGCCTCATAAAATATATGAGAGTAATTCATTATTTTACACCAGACAACTAAATGATAATGTTTAGTATTGGTGTAATAACCAGACCTCTGGACAAGACAGTTTCATTATCACTCCCAATAAAATAGCACTTCAGTATTCTGCAAGATTGCCATCACTGTCAAGGATCGTTGGGTGGTGTTTACAAATAGTTAACCAGGCTTCCTCACAGCTGTTCAAAATTGAGGGCTCATGAACACTTACGCAAGCAGGGTAAAATCTTATAAGCACAGATGAGCAGGAAGAACGGTGGTATGCCAAATGCATAACAAATAAGAATTTTAATTCATCTCATCATGAAAACAATAAAAGATGAAGAAAGAGAGGACAGAGGCCTTGGATGCCCAGAATTAGAGACTTACCTCAGATCAACAGTGCCAGTCAGACTTAATGAAGATTGTTTATAAACACAAATTTGGCATATTTCAGAGCTGAATGTAGGAAACAACTACTCAAGTGCTCTTTTGGTTGTGTGGCTAATGTTTGAGGATATTTAAAATTTAATCATTAAATTTAATCAACTTGACAGAGCCTCTAGACCATTAGGTATTTAGATAATCATATAATTAATGTTTCTCTGGGATATCTCACAGTGTCATATTTTAGGAGATGTTTAATACTCTTCTAAGATTTTGCTACTCAGCATATATTTCTGTGCAAAATATACAGACCCAAAATCTTTAGATAATAGTTTTTTTAATCCAATGTAAAAGAAGAAAGTGGTGAAATCTCCATCACTGTTTTGTGATTTTTGAACTAAGTCCAACCCCCTCATATGAGAGAAAACTGAGACAGAGGGAAGTTAAAAGTCTTACCAGAAGACCCAGACATGATAAGTGGCAGAGCAGGAACTATAGCTCAGGTCTCTTGCATCTTGATCTGAAGTTATTTCCCCTCATCTTTCTTTCAGGGCAAGGTTCTTCTATAAGTGAGGCTCCGAAATGTAACATTCTAGTAACTTGAGTATCTTGATGGACATAGCACAAGTAAACCCAGTCTGTATATGCTGTTTCTGAAAAGCAATGGACATTGATATTTGAAAACTCCTAGTTCCTTTTCCAGCTCTCATTTAACAACAGTGGCACATTCATGTCAAGAAATCTTCAGTTAATGTGACAGAACCCTAGAATTTCATGCCTCTCTTTGTTTTCAGACATGCAATTTAGAATTGAGTTTAGTTCTCTTACTGACAAGTCAATTTGGATTTTTTTCAATGCACAAAATTAATTTTTAATTTATTTTCTTGGTTAAGTGTGCATTCATTAATGACTCACAATGAGGTGGCACAAAGTCATAATTTGAGGAGATTTCAAGGAATCAAGAAATTTTTTAATATTACATTTATTTTGCAATATTTTTTTCAGTCACTGTACTTTTTTTTTTTTTCTGATTCCATTCGTGGTAAAATGACAAGTGTAAGTAGAATACTTTTATAATTGATTTAATTTTTTTTTTAGCCAGAAAAATACAATGAACCATTCTAATCTCAGGTAGGACTTAAGACACATGTCAACTATGTAATAATCTTCAAGTTGTCTTCTTCTTTTCTTTTTTTTTTAACGGTATATAGCTATTGCGATGTTAACATTTACTTCCTCAGTACACTGAAGTGGCATAGTACCTCTCAACTGTGTCACTTTTTAATACTCAACACACTGATACTATTTCAGTATCTTAAGAGACAGGTTTCAGGAACACACTACTTGCCCCTACTTATGCTGCAGAAAAAAGTCTAAATTTACAAGAAATCTTTAAAGAATGTTTAATTTACCTACCTTCACATAAAATAGTTCTTGTTGTTCTCCAATATAAAACTTCTCCATAACGGTAAATTGCTTTACTAACACCTAATAATTTTTTTTTTTGAAAAGACAAGCAAAATCAATGAATCTCTAGCTAGACAAAGAAGAAAAAAAAAGTGAAAAGACCCAATAAAATCAGAAATGAAAAAGCAGATGTAACAGCTGAAAGCACAAAGAATCACTAGAGACTATTATGAACAACTAGAAGCCAACAAATTGGAAAGCCTAGAAGAAATGGTTAATTTTCTAGATGCATGCAACTACCAAGATTGAACCATGAAGAACTAGAAAACCTGAATAAACCAATAGCAAGTAAAGGATTGAAGCTGTAAAACAAGTCTCCCAACAAAGAAAAGCTCAAGACCCGATGGTTTCACAGCTGAATTCTACCAAGAATTTAAAGAAAAGCTAATAACAATTTATTCAAATTCTTCAAAATCAAAATCAAACAGCAGGAAATACTTTCAAACTCATTATATGAAGCCAGCATTACTCAGATATCAAAACTAGACAAGGACACAACAAGAAGAACAAAAACTATAGGCTAATATCACTGAAAAATATAAATGCCAAAATCTTCCACAAAATACTAGCAAACTGAATGCAACAACACATTTTCACCACGACCAAATGGGATTTAACCCAGGGGTGCAATGAGTTCAATATACACAAATCAATGAAGATGATACATCATGTTAACAGAATTGAGAACAAAATCCATGTGATCATTTCAATACATGGTGAAAAAGCATTCAAGAAAATTCAACCTTGCTTGATATTAAAACCCTTCAACAAACTGGCTATAGAAGGAGCATACCTTAAAATAACAAAGGCCATAGATGACAGACAGACAGTTAGCATCATATTGAACAGGGAAAAATTGAAAGCCTTTCTGCTAAGATCTGAAGTAAGACAACCCTTAGTTGTAGTAAACCACTAAGATTTTGTCAGAGTACAGTATAACCTAGCAAAATTAACTAATTAATAAAATGGAACATGTAAGTGGTGTTCTGCTGAAACAAAACACCAATATATGTGCCATCGACTTTTGAATGGGGTAATTGTCTAAAAGGGTATTTATTGTTGATGGGATGCAAGACAACTCATTATGCAGGTGTGTAAGTGGAACATTTAATATAATTGTTGCCTGTAATTACTTAGAAGACAGGTAATGCATTGCATAAGCTTGAGCTGTACATGGAGAAGTTGGAAAACAGAAAGCTACTCATGTAATGTTGGCAGCGTTTGATAAGGTACTTGAAGAACAAGATGAGAAAAGAAAGCATTGGCCAGTTTACTAACAGAGACAAGAGGTATAATTCCTTTATATTTCTGTCTGTAAAACGTAACATTGTGAAATTTTAGTCACAAAGTCCGTTAACACTCAGCCTCATGACAAAGACCAAATTGGAGGTTAAGGGAGCTAAAGCCTATTATTAAAACTCAGAAATAATTAATGTGGCACCCATTCAATCTTTCCAACTGGTCAAAATTTCTCATGGAAAGGAGACTCAGAGTAAGACCTTCCCATAGAATCTTGCTAAGTTTAAATGACTGGCAGCTAAAACTAGAGAGAAAGGCCTATTTCAGGGGGGAAAACTGTGTACATTGGCACTGGAAACTGGTATCAAATAAATAAAAATCTTACTATGCTTTTGAGAGAGTTGTGCCAGCACTCTAAATTAAACAGACTATAATTATTTGAGTCTTGAAATTCCTTTTGAGTACTAAGGTGTCCAGAGTAATAAATAAAAATACAGAATGCCTAGTTAACTTTGAATTTCAGATAAATAACAAATAGTATTTTAGTATAATTTTATCTCATGCAATATTTGAGACATACACTAAAATATTATTTGTAGTTTTTCAAAATTCAAAGTTAACAGTGAGTACTGTATTTTATCTTGTAAACCAATATGGAGATCCAAACTTTTATAGGCAGAAAATAGACTGCAAAGCCATCTGAACCACCAGGAAGGGCGTATCCTTTAATAACCTCTTCAGATATGGTCAAGGAAGAGAATGGAAAAAGAAGGTCCTTGTAGATGTCAGATCCAAGATCCGAGAAAAATAAAGAACTGAAGATGTTTTGCTTTCAGGGAACAATACCTAATCCAGAAATGTTCTATGTCTTTCCATACCTTACTTCTCATTGCCATGTTATTTGCATTATTACTTTCTGTGAGTGGTTTATAAGTTCATCCCATTGAGTCAGGTGACTGACTTTGGTCAATGTACATGTTAGTAGACATAACTTATGACATTGCTGAGCAGCAACTTAAAGCATAATCAAATAGTTATTCAATAGCTCCTTTCCCTCTGCCACCAGATCAGCAATGTGGGAGACAGGAGCTTCACCTTCAGCCTGGATTCCATGATGGAGAAAATACATGGGGCAGACCAGTGGTTATTTGCAGCTAACATGTAAGATGAATAAGAAATCCATCTTTTTGTGGGGGTAGGGGATTGAGAAAGCCCTAGATTTTGAGGGCTTAGGATTGTTTGCTAACCTTGCTAATATGCTGGTACTAACAGGTTCTGAAAAAGCATTCATTCGTTTATTCCAATCGCAACACAGCTGTAGTTTATTACAGCTATAAGATATATTTGTGTTGTAATCAAGATTAACCGGTTTGCCCAAGGTCATCAAGGAAGGCAAAATTCAGATTCACTTATTCACTTATTTGGCTCCTTCTATGGGCTTATTGATATTCAAGACATTGAGAAGTACAAGAGAATAAAACAGTCCCTGACTTCAGAAAATGAATCACTTTGTTAGAAAGATAAGTCCTATACATGTTTACACACATGTGCACACACTCCATGTGGTTTGAGTCACCTCCCTTACAATATTTCACATTGTTTCTTACCCTCACGTCTGCCTCCTCCAGCAGCTGTGTCGTGCTGTAGAACACATTGGCATGTCTTGGATGCCTCTCCATCCACATTTAAAGACCATCATTATATTGGCTTTCTTTTCCAATATAAACTTCGCCACTTGCTTTATGGTAACATTTTTTTTTAGTGCAAAATAATGGAATATAATTTTATAAATGTAACTTCTGCATGATATGCTAATTTTTTCCAAGATGTATACATTTATCTAATGAAAGAAAAACCAAACAAGAAAATTATTTTGGTTGTAAAGAATAAATGCCCATTCAAAATATTCCAAGAAAAACAAGCTAGGTGAATTTTTTAAAAGATTTGAAAAGGAAATGTGGACTCATGGGTTCCAAGACGCCTTAAAACAAGTACCTTAGCTTCACATCTTTCTGATCCTGTAGGTTTCCTGCTTCTTAGAGTCTGTTCCACTCCTTTAGTCTACAAATGAATTTTCCCTGCCCACCCTTTCTGTTTATTCATCATTTAGGAGGTTGTAATAATTTGCTATGTTGCCAGCTCAGGCCAAAAGTTTTGCATAACTTGTCCAACCCAGAACCCATTGCCTTCGGAATACAGTTTCTCTGCCTCTTATTTCTGATAATTAAAGAAAAAACTGATTGACTATTGATTGGATCTCCTAGAATCAAATATACATTCCAGTCTAATTATAGGCATTTGTCTGAAATACTGTAGACTTAGTTCTAGACCACCAAATATTGCAAAAAAGGTAAGTCAGACAATTTTTTGGTTTCCCGGTCTATACAAAATTTATATTTACACTTACTGTAATCCATTAAGTGTGCACTACTAGCATTAGGTCTAAAAGACGATGTACAAACCTTAATTAAAAATATTTTATTGTTAAAAAATGCTAACAATCACTTAAGCCTTCAATTAGTTGTAGTTTTTTTGCTTCTGGAGGGTCTTGCCTCCATGTTGATGGCTGCTGCCTAATCAGAATGGTGGTTGCTGAAGATTGGGATGGCTATGCCAAGTTCTTGAAATAAGACAACAAATGAAGTTTGCCACATCTATTGACTCTTTTTTGATGAAAGATTTCTCTGTAGCATGCCATTTCCTTTTATAGCATCTTACCCATGGTAGATCTTCTTTCAAAACTGGAGTCAATCCTCTCAAACTGTGCCACTGCTATATCTACTAAAATCAATCACTGTCTTTGTTCATCCATAAGAAGGAATTCGTCATCTGTTCGTTTTATCAGAAGACAGCAGTGATTCAGTCACATCTTCAGGCATTATATCTAATTCTAATTTTAATTCTAATTTACATCTAATTCTAATTCATCTTGCTATTGCCACCACAT